GTGATATGATGGTATTGACTTGTCCACATACTCCCATAATTATGCGTTCACATAAGTATGCGTTCACATAGTTATGCGTTCACATATTTGTATACGGCATTGTTTGCATTGTTTATCTGTACATATATAAAAGTCTACATATACATATATACCCATACATGCATATATGTACATATATATATATATGTATACACCCACAACATGTTCCTGTTAAGCTTTGTACACAAGTGCACGGCATATGGTGTGTTGTCAAATTTGTGTACTTGTTTTGTTTTTTGTAATCATACCTTTGTAACCATATGTGTAAATATTCATACATTTATGTGTAGATATATTCAAGATATTTTTTAGAGACATCTGTATGTTGATAGTTCCATGTTTGTATTAATAGATTTGATCTATTCGGTACATTTGACATGTTCGTTGAAACATTTGAGATCGTTGTAAACTTGTAAAATGGTATGCTTACTTGTTTTAATATTCATATATTTGCATATGTATTTGTTGATGGTTTTTGACCTAGATATTTGTTTTAATCAATACATTTAGATATTGACATATTTGATATTCGTTGGTTGTTTTGTACATTTGTACAGTATATTCCTATGTAAAAATATAGTCTTTGTAGTTAAAGTTTGCGTTTACCTGTCCATCTTCTTAAAAGCCCCTACAGAACACACACCTTGGCGGCTTGGTGCAGGTCCGCTTGTCGTGTAGTGAATACGTCGGCATGGTATTGGTTTGAGCCCTTCTTGTCTCGTATGTGTACGTCAGTATGTGCACGTGCGCGCAGCACACACGTGTATTTGATGACATGAACATGTATGATATGTACTTGTTTCTGTGCATGCTGCAGGAGACAGACGTATAGTATAAATGAAAAACGGTTGTGTTTCGATTTTATGGCATGCCTAAAATTTGTACTATGCACAGACAAAGGGAGCGTAGTCTTTGACGCAGTGCCACAAGCAACAAGCAAAGATTTCAGAACTCTAACCAAGAATGAGCATATTTCGTGAGGCATCGCCCAAGAACACGACAAGGACCACTCGTAATAACCAACAGTGAGCATATCTTTCAAGGTAGTCCAACGAAAAGCGAAAACCAACAATATTTCAGAACCTTCAGAAAACAAAACCAGAACATTTTTCGAGGCATTCCCAAAACGATCGCACTTGTCAAAACATGGAAGCCGTCCCAAAATAATCCAAGTACCAAAAGACCGTCCGGCAAACACCCAAAAACGTTTCCTACGGGTGTACATTTTCATTTGTAAATCAATAAATTTAAATGTAACTATAAGTAAGTGAATACATAAAGAAATAGATATATATGGTAGCCCCCCCCCCCCCCCCATGAACTACCGACCCTCGTTTTGTATCGTAAATACCGTGTTAAACCTGC